GCCAGCACTGCACACCACACACACACACACACACACACACACACTCACACTCTCACACACGCTCTCTCTCTCTCTCTCTCTCTCTCTCTCTCACGCACACACACACACAGACACACACACACTCAGAATCTGTCTCACACACACAATTAAAAATTTAAATTTAGCAGAGTGTGGTAGCATATCCCTTTAATCTCAGCACTTGTGAAGAAGGGGGTGGTGGAACTCTGTGAGTTCAAGATCAGTCTGGTGTAAATAGTGAATTAAAGGCAGGTGCTTGTAATGTATTATTCTATAATTGGGCTTTTAAAAGTATTTTTATTAGCTGGGAGGTTGTGATGAACACCTTTAATCCCAGCACTGGGGAGGCAGAGGCAGAAGGATCTCTGTGAGTTCGAGGCCAGCTTGGTCTAGAGAGGGAGTTCCAGGACAGCCAGGGTTTTTTTGTTTTGTTTTGTTTAGAATTTCATGCAATGTGTTTTGATCATAATCATCCTAACTCCTCCCCCTAAGTCTTCCCAGATCCACACCCACCTCTGTACCCCCAGACTTTTTTTCCTCTAATTTTTTGGGGGGGTTTGTTTGTTTGTTTGTTTGTTTTTTCAAGACAGGGTTTCTCTGTGTAGCTTTGGAGCCTATCCTGGCACTCACTCTGGAGACCAGGCTGGCCTCGAACTCACAGAGATCTGCCTGTCTCTGCCTCCCTAGTGCTGGGATTAAAGGCGTGCGCCACCAACGCCCAGCTTTTTTCTCTAATTTTTCAGTCCCGGCTGGCCTGGAATTTATTGTGTAGGCTGACCTTGAACTCAGAAATCCACTTCCTTTGCCTCTTGAGGGCTGGGATTAAAGGCATGGGCCACCTCAACCAGGTTGAAAAGACTTTGTGACAGAGTACTTTTAGGTTTGCTGAACAATTAGGAGGAGGTGGACATTTCCCACACATCCCCTGCCCCATAAAGCTTATTCTCTCTCTGCTAAACCTCTCCAGAGCGTCTTAAAAAGGAGCTAGAAGCCAATGCCATTGTCACATGTCTATCTATCATGCATCAAAAAGCTGTAGCGGGTGGGGGCCATGCAGTTAAGAGCAGTTAACTGGCTCTGCAGTTAAGAGCACTAAGATCTGGGTTCAATTTCCAGCACTCACATGGCAGCTCACAATTGTCTGCAACTCCAGTCCCAGGGGATCTGACACCCTCACACAGACACACATGCAAGCAAAATGCCAATGTACACAAAATTTTAAAAATCATTAAAAAAAAACAAAAAGCTGTGTTTGGAAAACAAAATCAAAAGTGAGGAAACTGAGAAAGTGACTCTTAGAGGTAAGAGGCATTGATAGGGATGGGAAGGAGGAAATTTGTGTGTAGGGCTAATGAGAATACATTACATGTATTTGTGAAACTGTCAAAGAACAAAATTAATTTATACATGCATAGTTGCATAGATAGTTATATGCTCATACATATGTTATGCAGATATATGTGTATATGTATACAGATATGTGTTGATACATATGTGTGTATGTGTATACAGATGCACATATATGTGCATGTATACATAGGTGTGCATAGATGTGTATATACATGTATGCACATATATGTGTATGCATAAACAGGCATGTGTAGATATGTATGTGTGTATGCATATCTGTGTGTATGTATATACAGGTATGCATAGATATGTATATGTATATGTATATGTGTATGTATATGTGTATGTATTATGTAGGTATGCATAGATATGTATGTGTGTTATGCATGTATGTATAAATCTGTATATGCATGTGTGTAACATACAGTATGCATGGATACATATGTGTGTATGTGTACAGGTATGCATAGATGTGTCTACGCACATATATGTGTGTCATGTGCAGGCATGTATGCATAGATATGTATATGCAATGTATATGTGAATGCACATATATGTGTATGTGTATATAGGTATTGCTTTCTTAAAGCTGCTTGGGCTGGGGTACAGCTCAGTTGGTAGGGTGCTTGCTTAGAGAATGTAAGGCCCGCGGCACCACATGAGCCAGTCACGGAGTGCCCATTTGTCATCCCAGCACTCTGGAGGTAGAGGCAGGAGGATCAGAAGTTCAAAGTCATCTTCAGTTACAAAAGAATTTGAGGCCAGGCTGGGCTACCTTGTGCTCATACTCCTGCCCACCATGAAGGAGAATCCCTGATTTGCTGCTGGCTGAATGTTATTATTCTCGTCTGGGTAACGCTTTTTTAAAAACCAGTCAGCTAAATGAAGAATAGTGTTGCTTTCAGTTTTTGTTAGTTTGACTGAGGATGAGGACATGTTTTCTTCCTAGAGAGCAGCCTATTATTCTCTTGGGTTGTGTGTCTTATTGATTTTTAGGAGCATTTTGCATATTGTAGATAACGACTGTTGCTTCATTATATACATCACAAATGTTCCGTCTCAATCTGTTGCTTGACACTTGAATTTGTTTGCAGAAGTTGTAGTGTGCTGCATAGTGCAGGGAGTCAATCTTTTCCCTTACAGCTTCTGCTTTCTCGGCAATGCCTAGAAAGGAAAGTGGAAAAAATTTTCCTTTTTTTTTTTTTTTTTTGAAACAGGGTTTCACTATAAGGTACATAGGTTCTGTTTTGTTGTATATGCGCGCGCGTGTGTGTGTGTGTGTGTGTGTGTGTGTATTAATGTTTGAATGTGTATGGGTGAATTTGTATACACAAATACGCACATGCATGTGGGCAGTGTGGTTACCGGTGGGCAGTGTACCTTGAAGGCAGCTTTGGACCATTGGCTTCCCTTTCTCTCTTTAGCACTAGGTCATAAGTGAGGCTCAGAGCAGCAGTGTTAGCTGACCACGGCCTGGACTCTCCAAAACTGGGCCAGAAAGCCTGTCTTCTTGTTAAAATTCGTTACAGTAACAGGGCTGACTGGTACAGGTGGTTTTGCTGGTGTATGGCTTTGTTTTCACAGGCTGCACTTCCCAGAACCACCTCCTCCTGAGTTCCCCAACCAGGGGGGTGGTAACTTTTTGTGACTCAGCTGGAGTGTCACTGTCCCCTGTTTTCCTGGAGTTCCATCCCCTACACCACTATGGCTCTGAACCAAAATTCTGTTTCATTTGCTAACGTCCTTCCCTTCCCTTCCCTTCCCTTCCCTTCCCTCCCCTCCCCTCCCCTTCTCTTCCCTTCTCTTTCTTTTCTGAGACAGGGTCTTACCATGTAATTCTGGATGGTGGCTTAGAACCCCCTATGTAGCCCAGGCCAGACTCAAACTCACAGAGATCTGCCCGCCTCTATCCCTCAAGTGCTAGGATTAAAGATGTGTGCCACCATACCCAACTTAAAGTTTTAACAGATTGTTCAGCTTTCTTTTTCATTTCTTAAGCTTTGGAAGTTTGGCTGATGTTTACTGGAACATTTTTAATAATTAAAATAAAAAACTTAATTTCTATTGACAGGAAAGCAATTTAGTAAATTGAAGTACATTTATGCACTGAACAAAGGCTGAGAGAAATTCTATAAAAATAAGAAACTATGATGGAACAGCACACAGCTTTTCAAGATTTTTATATATGCATTATTAAATTTTTAGACAGTTTCACACACATACAAAACAAATACTGACCACTTCCAGCCCTCACCTGCCCCACTACTGTCTATCCCGCTCACGCACAATATATTATCTGTATGTGCGTGCATGCGTGTACATGGGCATGTGTAGCACGTGTGGCATATCTGTGCATGTGTGGATGCACCTGTACACAACACACACGTGTGGGGGTTAGAGGACAACTGGAGATCAAACTCAGTCCTGGGGATCAAACTCAGGTGGTCAGACTTGCTGAGGTGAAGGCAGGTTTAAAGGAGTCTACAAATACCCAGATAAAGAATAAAAGGAATTTATTTGGTATGTTATTTGAGGAACGCTCACACAATGATAGTCTTCCTGCTCTTTTAGATGCAGCCTCTGCCCTTCTTGATGCTCTGGATGCTTTGACCACACCCAAGAGAGCATGAGCCAGCCCCTCTTCTTCCTTATAAGGGGTCATGTCTGCACATCTGAAGTCACACCCTAAGGTGTGGCCACCACCCACGTCTACTAGCGGAACAAGATGCCACTACAGGTAGGTACCTTTACCCACTGAGCCGTCTTATGAACCCCTTTTTCACTTTTAAAAGTGATTTCTGTTTTGTAGGTTAGATGCCACATACACCAACCACCGTTTTATACTGTTCACATTGCAGATGGAAAATGAATGAAGAAATAAACAAATCTTGGTAGATGAAGAAAGACTCTCAGGGGTTGCTCACCTGCCCTGTGGTATCTACATCCGGCAGATGGCCCATGGCTAGCACAGCTGAAACCTGACAGAGCCCTCTCCTGACTGGTATGGATTTCCTCACTCACCCTGAAGTGGCCTTGTGTGCCTGGTCTTTAGTGTCTGCTCAGGATTCCCAAGACTTCCAAGAAATCAGAAGTGGGAGTAGATAATCTAGGCTTGGGCCAGGACACTTGGAGACACCATTTCTAGCACCCCAGATTGCTGGAAGAGCCTACCAGTAGTCGGTCAGAGGAGGGCTGTCCCTCTCAGAGGCAAAGTCTGTACCTGGTTTTGGCTATCCACAGCTGTGGGCTCAGGACATGCTCAGCTGTAAGAAGTAAACGCCCACCTTGGACCAACAAAAACATAGAGGTACCAATTGTCTTAGGGAAATGCAAAGGCCTGGCTGCATGTGACCTCAAGCCCTGGCTGGGGTTTAGGTAGAACAGCAGGAAACTGGGCACACATTTAATCCCAGCACTCAGGAGGCAGATCTTTGAGTATGAGGCCAGCTTGGTCAACAGAGTTCCAGGACAACTAGGGATACACAGAGAAATCCTGTCTCAAAAAAACAAAACAAAGATGGGGCTGTGGTGGTACATGCCTTTAATCCCAGCACTTGGGAAGCAGAGGCAGGGGGATCTATAGAGCTAGTTCCAGGACAGCTAGGGCTGTTATATAGAGAACCCTGTCTTGAAAAAAAAAAAAAGAAAGAAAGAAAGAAAGAAAAAGAAAAACAAACACAAAAAAGTCAACCAAACAAAATACATAGCATAGTACATAATAGCACAGTCTCTCACTTCTCTCTCTCTCTCTCTCTCTCTCTCTCTCTCTCTCTCTCTCTCTCTCTCTCTCTCTCTTTCTCTCTCTCTCTCAGCTCTGTGTCCCTGTGTGGCACAAAGATGGTAGCAGCAGCTCCAAGCTCTGACCAAGAGGACAGAGCCTGAGGGAATAGATGAGTGTCCGGGTGTGATTCTCCTAGGTCTGAGTTATGTCCCTATCCTCAGCTAATGCATCTTGCTCCACCAGGCTGGGGGTTTGGGGGAACATGGGTGCTCTGCACTGAGTCCAAAGTGGAACCCCTGTGTGCTGTAACAACCAGTCCTGCACCTCAGTCTCCACAGGTGGCCTGACCTCTGGCCCTACACTGAGCCTTGGATTTTTGTTTACTTTCATCCCAGGTCTTGTCTCTGGCCTGATCACCAGCCTTAGGCTGCCTATACCCTGGGAAATCCTAGGCACTGTTCTGCCCTGGAAGCTGCAAGCCCTAGGACCCTCCTGATCCCTCTATGCCCTCCTCTCCCAACTGAGCAAGAAGTGGACTAGGAAGGTAACACCCATCACCTGGGGAAAGGGATGAACCTTGTCAGACCTCTTTTTATATTGAGTCCCTGAGCTCTTGTGAGAGCCTTCTCCTCAGACCTCCTCGTGGCCATTGCTGTGCCTACTGCTTTTTTTTTTTTTTTTTTTTTACCTCGCCTCTAACTGCTGCACACAGTGTGGCTGCATCCACTTTTCTTCTACTCCATGGCTCCCACTTTCTAGAGGAAGGCCTGAATATTAGAAACCATATCCCCTCCCAATTCCTACCATAATCTGAAGATTTATTAATCTATATGATGAGTCAGGTCTGGCTGCTTCACTGTATTGGTAGGTGGGGCAAAGTTGAATATGAACAGCCAGGGACCTTTATAGTACGGCTGTGTGTCTCCTTTAAATGTTGCTTGCATGAAAACAAGTCAGAAGGCCCCAGTGATGGAAGGGAAGTCAAAACTAACACAACCACTAGTACTCAGTGTCTTGGTGAGAGACACACCCTGACCCCCGGGGTGGGGATGGGCTGGCATCAGGTGCTCAGAGGAGGTTCTGCAGAACTCCAGCATTCCTTCACCACTGCAGGAACTCAGGCACAAAGTAGCCGATCTTGAAGTGTTCCACAAGAAGCAAGACATGAGATTCTTTATATGAGATATCCCTCTCCAGAGTGCTGGCAGACATTTGTCTGCCAACTTGACAAGCCAGGCTCACAAAATGCTTTCAAAGGCAAGCTCACACACAAGGCAACAGTCCATGATCCTGGAGGGAGGACTGTGGAGGCAGAACCAGAGGCTCAGAGTGGGAAAGAAAGTTGCATAAGGCTGCCCAGCTGGGAGGGTGTGTAGATAGTGTGGGAGGGGTGTGGATGGTGGGGGGTGTGGATGGTGTGGGTGGGGGGTGTGAAGGGAGGGGTGTGTGTGGATGGTATAGGAGGGGCTAGACGGTGTGTGGATGGTGTGGAAGGATCCCCACTCAGCTCGTCTTCCAGGACAGTGCTGAGGAAGCTGCTAGAACCTGAAGGTAGCTCCCAGTATTCCTGGCCAAGACCTCTCCCAATGCTCCCACTCCCGGGATGGAGCCTGCTGAGTTCCACCTGGCAGCATGTGGCCCCAGCTTCACAGTCAGCAAGGGACCAAGGCCAGGGCTGATCTGCCTGATTAACCTAAATCAAGAGTAAGGTCTCCTGTGGCTCAGGCACCACCACCACCCAGGACCTGCTCTAAGAGAGCAGGGTGGGGTGAGTTTACCTTCACTGCGGGTGCAGAGGAGTCAGTGCCCTGTAGTCCCCTTCAGATGGGGTAGGTGGGCGATGACCCCAGGGCAGGAGTGGCTTCTGAGTAACTCTTGTAACTCACAGCTAGTGAGTATCCTAGGTTCCATGAAGACAGAGCTGGGCAACCTGGCCCATGGGGCTTACCCCTCTGGTCCTCAACCAGTTCTTAACGTTGTGATAATCCCAGCCAGTCAGAATTCCACCTCTCCGCCATTGTCCAGAACATCACAGACTTCTATTGAGAATTGTTATTAGAAAATTCGTTAGATAATATGAAATTGACTATCAAGCAGAGGCGGCATAGGGGAGAGGAGAACAACTTCTGTCTGATGGTGACATTTGATCACAAGCTGATGTCTCTGGGTGGAAGAACCAGCAGACACAGGGAGACAGGTTTCCTGTCCAGAGAACCCAAAGGCCGTGGTTCCTGGAGGAAGGAGGAAGGAAACTGGGCCTGGGCCAGCAAGGCTTCTACCAGGGTTGCAGGGAGATCGGCTTTTATTCTTCATTCAGTTGCCAACATGCGGTGGCCTTTGGAAGTCCGCCCCTGTCGACTTACCTGCCTGTTCATCCCTCCAGCAAATGGTTTGGGGGTACTTACTGTGTGCCAGCTTTTCCCTAGGGGTCGCCCAAGCCACCACACAAAGCCACAGCCCTGGGCACCTGCAGGCTCTCACGCAGCGCGCGCGGTGCTCGCGGCC